ACTACTTCCGCAAAGAGCTCGAGTATCAGGCCAACAACCAGTACATTCCCAAACCAAAACCCGCAAGGATGAAGAAAGGGAGAACAAGACATAACTGAAGACTGTTAGTTGGACAGAAACTTCCCTACTTGACATTTGATGGGATGTATTTTTTCATTTTTCTTTTTTTTTTTTTTTTTTTTTTTTTTAAGAGAGACTTTGAAACAGGTATCATGAAGAACAAACTGGAATTTCATTCTGAAGCTTGCTTTAAAGAAGTGGATGTGCCTAAAAAACAAATGACAACAACAAAAAAAACCCACAAAAAAGAAACCCCCATCCCCTGCAAATCTTGCCTTGCACTTTTTAAATCTGTCTTTTTATGTAAACTAGAGTAGAAGCATCTTTTAGTATCTTCAGGTTTTATATCTTGCTGTGAGATCATTTTGTTGTGACTGTCCTTGACAGTTTTATTTACTGGTTTCTTTGTGAAGCTGAAGATGAACACAAATGGGATGGAAAATGCCAATTTATTTATAAAATGGGTACTATAAAATAAGAGATGTTCTACTATGCATAAGAAAAAAAAAGTGAGTTGTATTGTCAGGTGAGAGAAACTGTCATCTGGTATATAGGAGTTTAAAAGAATTCTGTATGAGAGCTTTATGTATTCTTTAAAGGAGAGATTTTTCAAAGGTTTAGTTTTAGTTGTACACTTGAATTTGAGATATTTTCATTGATTACCATGGATAAGGCTATTTTGAATCACTACTGTGTTGTGCGTACTCTGGGAATAAAGTTAATGTATTATTGGTTACAGTGGTCGAATATGCTATTTTAATAAAATATTGAAACTTCTATTTTCCAGGTTCAGTGTTTTCACTGTATGAACTTCTCATTTCACATATATATTGATTAGAAAGAAACAGCCTGTAAATAATTGTTTCAAAGTTAAAAATTGTTAAGAGTGGAAGGACCGTAGGATGTCTGCTGAAATAGATTAGACAAAAGCACATCATGATTTATTCCAATTTAAGTAGTTGATAATGATGTAGCAACATAAGAGTTTCTTTAAAACAGAGATTACAACTTCAGCCTCCCCAATTTGAGGAAATATTTATATTTTAAGTATTTTACTGCATTGCCAGTAAATGTTACACAACTTGGATAACAATGCCTGTCACTCTAGAAGAACTGTCAACGCTCGGTTGTTCATATTTTGCACAGTGACACCCAGGCCTGGGTGCCTTGGAGGAAGGGCTGGCGGAGGCTTCTTTAGAAGACACCTTGTCCTAGTGCCACTCAGAACTGCAAAGCCTCGTCTGTCAGAAGGGGAAAATCTCTCCTRGAGTGACGTGACTTTCTTTCAGGTTTTGCTTCACGAGCTTTTCTGGGTGTCTTCAGGTTGCTTGACAGAGTGGCCGGTGCCCGCAGAGGAGACCCAGGCGAAAGCTCGCGAGGTTTGGGCGCTCGTGCGCTTTGGGGCCGAGGCTCCCAGGGCCTTGGGAGCGACGCGGCTGCGCGCTCGGTGTGACCCCGGCGGGACCGGGTCCCTTTCGGGCGCAGCGGCGCCTTCCCCGCCTCGCGCTCGGGTTTTCTGCGCGGCCGTGGCCGCCGAGGTGGAGGTTTCCTCTTCTCAACGGAGAAATGGCCTCCTGCCCTTCACCCTGTGGCCCGGGAGCAGCTTGTGCGGGCCTTGCTCTTCCCTTAGAGACTTCTTCGGGATACGGGATAATTCTCAGTGCTCTTTCTGCTTATGAAGGTGCCTGAAAGGTACAGCCTGATCTGTGTGCTCCAAACGTGACTCATCCAGCCTGTCGTGACTGACAGAGGCATGGGGCCTGCCTGGCTGGATCCTGATGGATGCTTCTGGGRCAGATGGATAGCGCTGGAAGCAGGATCTGGCATCGTATGGTGCCTGCAACTGCCCATATCCCAGTGGAGATTTTTAACCCTAACCTTTGGACCACCCTGGTTTTAGGGAAGCTGCTCTTTCTCCTTATCCAGATTGCACGGTGCGGTGCCGAAGGGTCCAAAGTCCTTCCTTTACAAAGAGTCCAGCAATTGGAGCAGTCACCAAGAGCAGGGGAGTTGTGGGTTTCAGCTGTTGCTTCCAGTGGGTTTCAGCTGTTGCTTCCAGGGCTGTTTCTCATCTAGTCCTCTGACTGCAGTGCAGAACGCACGAGCAAGCGTGTTGCTAGAGACCGCTGCACAAAAAGTGCATTTTCAAATAACTCTGGGGAAATCTTGAATGTTTGGATACTGAAGTTACGAATGTAAAAGCTTTTTAGATTACTTCACTGCCTGACCTTCTTCGTAAAGGGAGAAAATTGGTCAGAGGACAAGTGGCTGGTGCTGACATAACCCGTTCGTGAGAACGTGGAATGCCCCCAACGCGGCCTGTGACTTTCCTTGAACTGCCTTTAGCTTTGGGTTCCATATTTCTCGTTCCGTTCCTCTTCTCTTCCTCTTCCTAGCGTCTTCCAGAATCCGCTGTGATTGCTGTTGCCCTGGGCCTTGGAAGCCAGTGAGTGATCTTCAAGTAGGCTCAAAAAGCATGAATTTTAAGTGTTAAAAACAGAGTCTTCTGGTAAAAGTTTGGGGTAATTTCAAGTTTTGTCCTGAGCTGAGTGTGGACGGAGGCTGGCGAGTTGTGCCTTGCAAGCCCTCGTGTKGGTCCTCTCTGTCCCCACCTGGCATTACCTCCGTAACAGAAAGAAGGCACCAAGTTTGCAGGGGACCACACAGGAGAAACAGCTCCTGCCATTCCAGAATAGCCACATTTGAGGGATGAAAGTGGAGGAATACAGAGGTGGCAGGACTGAAAGCCTGGAAATAACAGGATATTGTAATAAATGAAGCCAAACCACATCCTGATTTCCACGCCTAAACACAGTGGAGTATTTGTACGTTTTCTCAGAAGGTTTGGGAGTTGGGATTTTCTGCTATCCCATGGCTGGGAAGACAAGGCTCAGTCCCGCTGCCCTGCATGCAAGGGCACTTCAGCCGGGGGGAGCGAAGCGTTTTCCAGCAGGACACGTTTGGCGCAGCCAGGGTCCGTGGGGAGCCTGCAAGCAGTGCAGGAGTGGTGCTCTGCTCGCAGAGGAGAGCTGTGCCGAGTGCCCGCTGCTGCGGGGTGTTGAGCCGCGCGCCAGGGGCACTCCAGCAGCCTGGAGGTCGGGAGGCTGCGAGCTCCGAGGGGGATGCGGCGGCGGTTGGTTTGCTCTGCTTTTCCTTAACTCAGTGTTGGGTTTCTGCCTCCTGTGACACGCAGGGCTGCTTGGGAGCTGGGAAACCGAGGTGCTGGTTTGCGGATGAGCCCGGCGGGGCTTGCAGAAATAATTTGGCTGGTTGATTTTTGACAAGCTGTGTATTCTCCTTAAAGAGATACTATTTTTTTTTTCCTCATTTCTTTCCCAAGCCTGTGCTGACTCCTACCTGGTGTTTGGTTTGTAGCTTATTGCATGTCCTTTGGCATCGTTGTGGTTGCTATATCGGAAGCCGGGCGGACTCCTCCGCTACAGAATGGGTTAAGGGAGCCTTCAGCACACAGCACAACGTAATGAAAAAGGCAGCTGGGAGGAGAGGGGCTTGCTTTTTTCCTATCGCATCCAGAAGTGCAATTCTGTGAAGTTTGCAAGCCAGGGAAAGCCGCTGCACTGCGTCAGCCTGCAGGAATGGGCACAGTTCACAAAAGCCTAGAAGGAGTGGAATTTATTTACAACTCTGTTTGTTTGTTTTCTGCCTTATTCAGCAGGTCTAAATTCCCAGTTGTTGTAAATTCTGGGACACGATGGAAACTATCAGCACAGTCCAAACSTTGCCAAATCCTGCTCAGGGTTTTGGTGGGACACAGAGTGGAAGTACTCTTCCAGGAACTCTTCAACTGTGCGAGAGCGTGTACTGCAATCAGGATAAATGGCTAGTCCCTATTTGGAATAAATAAAGTGCTTTCTGCCCTCGGAACTGCACCAGTTTCAACCAATTTAACTGGCAAGGCTGCCTGTAAGTGTGAGTGCTCCAAAGCTGAGGAGGAAGCCTTTCTTTCAGAGCATGTTAGCTTAGGGCCTGGTTTTGTGTGCAGAAGAAAAGCGAGTAGCACGTTTGTTCCATCTGGCTCTCCCTCCCTGGAAACCTTCCTGCGGGGAGCTGGAGAGAGCTGGGCTGCCTCTGCTGGACACCAGTCCATCACACAGCAGGGGCTGTAAAAAAGATTAGGAAATACGTTCGATTATGAAAGAAGCAGAAGTGTCAAGACYGGTGGTAGCGTAGTCCATGCTTTGGAAACTTCTTGTCAGCTTTAAATTACAGGCAGCTAAAGCCTCCCTGCTGCAGCTCTTGGCAGCCCGTGGCACGTCGGCCATGGCTCTGTCCTGGCTCACGCCCCAGACCATGGGCCTGGGCAGCCTCCTTCTCCAGCCCCCCAAGTCCCCTGCCTCTCCCTGGCGTAACGAGTCCCCTTTGCATCCACCTTCCAAGCCAGGCTGCGGGGAGGCAGCGGCGGCTCGTGGAAGCCGGCGCGTGCCTGGCCACGGCGGGTGCCCAGGATCGGGGTGCCGGCTTTGGAGCCTTCCCGGAGCAGCTGCCCTTCCTGCAGGCTGCCCCTTTAGGGATCATCCAGTGGGCGTCTGTGTCCTGGCCCCCGGGAACTGCGCCAGTGCCAGACAGGTAATGTGGGAGGCCGAGTGCAGCACAGCATGGCAGCGTTTCAGCTGGATTTTTTTTTTTTTCCCACTTGGAATAACTGGATATTTTTGATGCAAATCTGACTGAGTAAGCACATCTGAAATAAATTGGCTTATATGATATATGCCAAACTGGATGATATAATKGAATTGGGCAATTAATTGTAGGAAAGCAAATGAAAAAGCCCTTTAAAAAATGATTTCCAGTAGTGTGCTGCTTTGAAATGAAAAACTTGCCAACAAACTCTACCAAATAAATGGAAAACTTTTTTTTTATCAAAAAAGCTTTATTTCTATAACACTTTATATATAGTGTACTACTAGGTAACCATAAAAAAGTCACACTGCATCTCACAGATCCTTTCTTCTTGCTGGTTTCTGTGAGCAGCTAGTAGGGAAGCAGCAGCACTGACTGAGGGAAGACTCAGCCAGGCCCAACACAGCCACGTAGCTACTAACTACAGGATAAATGGCAGGATAAATGGCATTAGTAATCGTCATAGTTGACACCCGCTCCATGCCTGAAGGTATGTGGGTTCCGTGGACCGATGGGTGAGTCTTCATCGTAGTGGTGCTGGTAGTAGCCACCGTAGTATTCGTGGCCCCTCCGGCCCAGGCTTGTCCAGTAGGAGATGTCGTCTTCAAATTTCTGCAGGCAAAAAGGGAGTACTTGCTTTCCAAACCCACAACTTTGCAAGAAAATGAAACAGAAAAGGTACAAGTGGTTCTTTCTGCTTGCTTAAGAAATCTGGTCCTTTGTAAATTTGACAAAACTAAATGCATTGATCTAGGGGGTTTTGTGGCTTGCACCTGCTGTCGCTATGGGCTGTATGGGGGKTTGAGGAGACCTAGCTGTCCTCAGCAGCCTCGCCCGGTCCCCTCGCCCACAGCTGCCCCCGGGAAAGCGCGCAGACAGGCAGCGCCCTCAGTGCGACACGCGCTGCAGCCCTTTGCACTCTCCTACCTCGCACTGCTGCCCGGTACAAACCTTTCACTGCCTTGCACTTAAAACCAAAGTCATGGTTCTGCAGCGTCCCACGGCCTTCGGTCCCGGCGGCCCTGCTGCAGAGCGGGTGCCAGAGGCCCCTGCTTTGTGCCCGGGCTGGCTCTGCCCTTCTTGGGCAGGTGGGTGGCGAGCGCCCGGCCTGGCCCGCTAGCCCGAGAAACGCGGGGGGCGGCTCAGCTGTGYGCCTGCTCGCAGCAGCGGCAGGAAAGGACTGCGCAGAGATACCCAGCAGAGGCCAAGCCCAAGTCCTTCCATCTGAATGACTCTTCGGAAACATTTTTGGCWGAGACTTGAAAATCAAGTTTTACAAAATACACAATGGCTAAGTATGGCTTACGCCCTGTCTAAAACATGGCTGAAACAGACAGTTATTTCATTGTTATAACCGGGCTTATTACCCAAGAAAACCTCCCAAGGGCAGCCACTGTATCCCCCAACGGGCTGCCTCTCATTTCGCTCAAAGGCAGCCAGACAGTTGCGGAGGGGAATGTGTCTTAGCTGCATGATGTGTGTGTTACCTCTTAGGAACTGCCTACAGCAGCCTTCAGTTTCTGAGGTATGAAATCACTTTTCCTATTTCTCCCATTGTGTGTTTGCATAAAAAGTAATTTTATCTGCATAATGTCCAGAAGCACCATCAACAACAGAATGTATCCATTATTTCAGTACAAGCAGTGGAGTTTTTTAATTACTCCAGCTTTGAAAATGAGTGCATTCATCTYGTAAGCAATGCACACAGTATGAAGGTGTAAAATGCACTCCAGCCTGTCCGTGCCAATTCAGTCTCATTAAATACATTCATGTGGCTGACAAAAGCCAAGAATTGAACATCTATAACTATTTTTTACCTCTTATTTATGTACAAATAATTTGACACATAGGAAGGAAACTGCATGCATATTTTTCCCTCTGTTTCAGTGACCTACTTAGAGCTGTGTGTGCTGTATGCATATGAGCTGGAATTGTCTTTACAATTAACTGTTTTAAGAAATACATCTTTATCATTTGAAGGCAAGTTGCCTGCACATTACTGAATAGTCTTCCTTTCGGATTTTGGAGTTGAACCGTAGCTGCCCCTATTGTTGCAGCCACGTGCACATCTTATGCAATGTTAGTGTGATTTTATTGAAGAATGTCAGTCAGGCCCAGCTTAATCCACTTTAATGGTTAAAATCYATTATGGTGTGTTTAAAAGCAAACTGATTAGGTTGAGATTATCAAACTTCTTTCTAAGCTGCAATGGATGACACTATGTCTGTTTCTCAAGGTAAACTTAGTTCACAAATCTGGTTACAATTTATTAGTTCTACGTTCACTTGAAGGCAAGAATTTCACTGAAGCTTTTAATAGCACTTTATTAATAAAATAATGTGTAAATTTCTAATAAATACCAAGTTTGTATCTCTGTGCAACATTTACTATTCTAAAACAAAACTGTAATACCCAATTTGTGAACAAATGCAGGCTAGCTTCCCCCGAGGCAGCATTCCTGACTGCTGCGCTCCCTGTGTGCATCCACTCTCCAACCCGCTTCCTTGCAACTCCAGAACATTCCTGACGAGTTTCGCACTCACCGCTTCATCAAAGCCCAAGTAGAGGAACTGCTGGTACCACTGCTGCACATCGGGCTGAGTCCTGTCCCACAGCTGGCGCTTCTGGCGTTTCAGGCTGCTCAAGAACTCTTTGGCCTTGTCTTCTCTCTCTGACACCTCAGGCTTAATGGCAACAGGGGCTGAAATTAATTCCCCCCAAAAGACATGCCAGGAAATTTTTAATCACCCTGAAATATATTGCACTGAAGACGCTTTTTTTCATTAGGTCATCAACTCTGTGCTTGGCAACATTGTGTGTGTAGCAACTAGTAAAAATTGGAAGCATCAGTATAATGTTTTCTCTGCTACTCTTGTTCTCTTGGATTTTCATCAACTATTTTGATCTCAAAGATAAAAGCTAAGTAAGGCATTTAAACAAACAAACCAAAGCTGACAGTGCCTACACAGCATTACGTAGTGCTTTAACAAGACACTGGGATAAACATCTCCGTATGCTGCTGTTATTTGGAATGGGAGAGAAAATGAGAGGTGAAGTTAAGAACCCAAGAACGCTAGAGACACGTAGTTTACAGGGGTGGAGAGAGGTGCACACACAAGTGGATAWAGGTACTTCCAAATGTACTGTAAACCTGTAGCTCTGGAATAACGAGTGCTGTTGAGTGCTGCCTGTCTGGAGATACCCCCTTGCCACCTCGGGCTGCAGAGCTGGGCGCGTGCACAGGAGCAGCTCCCAGCTGCCCACCCACCCGCGCTACTCAGCTTGCCCCGTGCCTGGCGGCAACTGGGCATCTGCAGCCACCTCTGCGGAGGGGCAGGTTCTCGGCCGCAGCCACGGGGCAGGCAGAGGGGAGGCAGCTCCGTGTAGCCTGTCTCTCCATGGGCTGCAGGGCTGCCTGTGCCCGGCCAGCTCCCGTTCCCATCCCCTTCCCACAGGCAGCAAGCCCTGCGCCTCATCTGCACACTGGGCTCTGGGCCATAATCCTTCCTGTGGAGAGGGTAGTCTTCCAAGAAGGAAGTGTGCGGAGGGCCAAGGGGACATAGGAACAAGTAACCRCATAACAAGTGACTCCAATTTGCACATTTTCTCTTCTGCACCTCAGATACCAGAATTTCCATGGATTGTAACTGCTTTGGAAACCCTGTGCTCTCCCAGAGYGCAAGAACCCCATGCCATGCCTGCCACGCACAGCCTGGGAAAGGAGTGCAGTGCACCCTGCCAGGCGGCAGCCAGGCTGCTGCGTGAGCCCCGAGTGCCGCTTTCCAGCTGCTTGGCTTTAGTGTCGAGGGGGAGGAGGGCTCAGGGTGAGCAGAGCCTCCGACGCCGCAGGTAGCCCCTTCGGAATGACCAGGGCGGCACCAGCTCCGGGGCTGGCACTGCACGTGGTGCGATGCATGGCAAGGGGGGCTCTACTCCAGCACCCGTCAGCTGCTGTGTGTGTGTTTGTACATCCATCCATATATACCTACACACACACACATATGGAGAGCAATATCCTGTGTAGTAGTTGGTGTATATATACGTACACAGCTGCTCTCACTATGCCTTTGAGCTGGAAACACAATCATGACTGCATTTAAAGTTTTGATCCATAGCAACCGTATTCTTATCAACAGAAGAATACAGGAAGGCAATTTTCTGTCTCTTTATTTACCTTCTCCCTTTCGAAGCATCAGCTTCAGCTTATTTCCTCTTGAACCATCTAGACAAGCAAAAATAAAAGGCATATTTAGCTATCAATTTTATTTAAGAGGAAAGAAACAACAGCAGCAGCAGCAGCCACCATATTAAAAATACAGATGTTTTAACTCCTGAGTATCAGGATGAAACTTGCTTCAGAGCCAGTTTCTATCTCCCACTATCTCCCCCCTATCAACGCCCACCACACACAATACTATCTTCCCATACTTTAGTTTAACGCGTGCTACAGGGAAGTTTTCACATTCCCAACAGCTTTTATCCAACCCCTCTTGGCAAGGAAGCCTGATACTGGTCTTGTTCACCTCATGTCGTTATACTCTTCATGAAAAAGCCCTGCTGCTGGGGTTAGCATAGCGATACAGTGCCCAGGGTTGCAGGCTAATCCCCGCAAACCTCCTGGGGCTCCATGAGGGGCGCGTTCGCAAGGGCGCCTTTAACCTGCTCCTCCCAGCGAGTGCTAAAAAATGCCCGCGCTGTTCCGCTGATAAAGCGATTTCGCAGAGGGAAAATGAATTAAAAAAAAAAAAAAAAGAAAAAGAAAA